CTTGACCACATGAGGGACCTCATTACAGAAGCCAACAAATACATGAATAACAACCAGCAGGTGAGATTGTTTAGCAAACACCTTTCCTTTTTTTTTAATATGATACCATTTATTTTTTTATGGGATACTCTACATTTTCTATATGCTAGTTGGAGTCACTTTGTTTCATAATATGGAAGAAAGCTTTGTGAGAAATCCTTCATAGTTTCTGTTTGTTATAATCCAAACATTTGTTGCTATTTGGGTATGTAATAATGCAGACATTTCCGCAGGTCAACTCTCAATTGATGATCAACATAAACAGCTACATCCTGAAAATGATGAACATGTTTGGTGTTACTCTTGGTGATCAGAGTGGAGGCAGTGGCCAGGTGAGGAGACAATTTTGAAAGTCTGGAATAAATTTCTGGTTTTATCCTTCATTCATTTCAGTTCTGAAGAAGAGAACTTGAATTACCTTTTGATTTCAAAATAATAAGAGATTTTAATTGTATGGATAACTCAAGAAGTCAGTGTGTCTGTCATTTATATTTGCAGTTGTCATTTATATACTACTAAGTTATTGTGAGCTGAAATGTACTAATAAGAATGTTTTCTTTTAATGTACTGAATAACCATGTTTTCCATAGAGCTCGGAGAACCTTCTTGCGGTAGCTGAAGTAGTGGGAGATGTTCGAGAGAAACTCCGTCAGTGGTCTAGAGGAAAGGATGTCGACGCCAAAGACCTCCAGGGGAAACTCCTAAGCCTCTGTGACAGCATTCGTGATGACATGCTACCTCCGCTTGGGATCAGGCTGGAAGACAGAGACGGAGGTAAACAAACTGCTGCTCATTAACCTTTGAAGTGTCAGGGGCATCACCACACTTGTTGGTTTTGTTTTTGATACAGTACCAGGCCTGCAAAGTGTTCAGGATCAATTACTCTAAATTTACATACTCTAGATATGTAAATTTGTATTAGATGATTTTAAAGGATTGAAGTAAAGTTAGAATTTGTAAATGCTGATATGCAGTAATAGTTCTAAGTAACTTTAGGAAATTACATAGCTACAGGTGCTTAGATCATTTATGGTTAGGAAACCTATCAAATGTCTCTTATTCACAGGTGCACCAAGCATTAAACTTGTAGATGCGGCAGAGCTTATGCAAGAGATCAAGCTAAAGAAAGAGCAAGAAGCTGCCAAGAGGGAGGAGAAGGAGAGGAAGAAGGCAGAACAGGCAGCGAAGCAAGCCGCCAAGGACAAGGAGGTGCCCAAGGACCCAAAGGACATGTTCCGCACCCCCGAATATTCGCAGTGGGACGAGAGCGGCCTGCCAACGCACGACAAGGACGGCAAGGAAATCACCAAAAGCCAGTCAAAGAAACTCGCCAAGCTCATGGAAGCCCAGAAAAAGAAATTCGAGAAGTGGCAAGCACAACAGGCGTAGCGTAATTTATAGAATTTTTTGCTTCCGTGATCTGTTAGGTGGAATGTGATTAATAAAAAATATTCTGGCCGAAGTTGATTTAATTGTCATTTCGCGTGTGCAGGATCAGTGGATACCTTGCATGATTTAAGCTTTAAATGCATAATTATGATATTGAGATATTGGTGATTGGCATTTTGTGATTCTTTTTTTTTTTATAACGTCTAATTCTAGAGTTGAGAGCTATAAGGGCCAAAGGCAAAAAAGGGCAATTTTGAGATAAGCCTACCATCACACTGGAAATTTTTGTTTCTATAAGTGATTTAAAGGATAATTTCATCAGTTCGTTTTTTATAATTAAAAAAAACATATATCCCAACTCATGATTGATTGATACCAGTAGTTGGATTTTGATTATATAGCAAACAAAAGCTCCCAGTTAGCTGCTTTTTACTAATTTATACTTGAAGTCAATATGCTATTTTCAGTTACAGAAAGAAGGAGAAAAAAATTGATGTGAATGCATTACAGAATTGTCGGCAAGGAAGTATATTTATATTTCAAAGATAGTTTCATTTTTAAGCCATAATATGGTGGAGAAACTTTAGAAAGGGAATTAGGAGAAATGGTTTAAACATCAAGAGCAATAAATATCTTGATTTATCATTTAATCAGCAAAAAATAGTTTTTGCAATGTTTGTTTTGAAAGCATAAACAAATCGTTATTTTTGTTGTGTATTTTTTTTAAGACCTAGATTAATGTAACACATTTTGAAAAAACAACCTTTTTGAATTATTATTTGCTGAATTTCAACCAAGGCGGTTTTCTCACACTGACTTTCATGATATTGGCCCTTCTTGTTCTGGGCCCTAGAATTACCAGTTATATCTGTTTAAAGATGTGATTGCTGTTGCTGATCATGTGCCTGTCTTTGCATTTTTAACCAGATTCCAACACATAAACAAATGCACAGAGATACATATAGAGAGAGAGCAAGAGAGAGAGAGAGAGAGAGAGAGAGAGAGAGAGAGAGAGAGAGAGAGAGAGAGAGAGAGAGAGAGAGAGAGAGAGAGAGAGAGAGAGAGAGAGAGAGTACTGGAAATAATATAATAATCTGGAAAGATAAGGCAGATGAACCTCTAATTGGTGATGGTAACTTATGAAATAGCCACTGGAATGATTATTTTTTCAATGAAAAAGAACAGTATTTTTATACTTGTTTACATATGTATAAATATGTGTATGTAGTCTAAGACTTGTACATGTGTTGTAAGTGTGAGAGTGCCTTTACTGTTTTGTTACTATTACATGACACACAGCTTTATACACAATGTTGAAATTGCATTGATTTGGTCCAGTCATTTGCAAGCCATCAATAGTTTGAATTGTTAAAGATTTATACAAATAAAGATAAGCTTTATGTGTAAAATTGAAGTTTTATATATAAAGTATTGAGATGCCTTTGATATATTTTTGTAATTCACTACAATCCTACACTGAGATGCTTTTGGTATATTTTTTTGTAATTTACTACAATCCTACAAAAAACTGAAGAAGCAAATCAGTTTATTCAAGTGTTTTATCATTTCCCCATTGACACTCCAGGTATAAGTACTTATGTATAATGTGATTTTTTGTGTGCAAAACTTGTAATTGGTTCAATTATAAATAAAAAAAACAGTACTAATTTTTTAAAATTAATTTGGTGTTTGAAATTGGTTCCTTGCTTCAGAACATGTTATCTATTAAAATATGGATTTAAATTGTGATATATAGAAATTATTCTCTCCTCCAATCCTGTGCCGATTGTTGTCATGGGGGGGGTGGTGGCTTAGGAGGCGAGGACTGGGACCCAGTGCTGGGGGTCTCCCCTGCCTTGGGACTCGGCCCCCAACTCAACTAATTTTGCATGGTCTTTTCCCCCTCCTATTATTTTGTTTCCGTCCCTTCTCCAACCCCTTCAACTACCCACTTCCTAAGGTGTGAGGACCGTGCTGAAAGGATGAAAGGCTAACTCCTCCTCAATGCGCACTAGTACATTATCTACCCAAGTCAGCACTCAATCTCCAGGACAAATTCCTACTCTTCCCAATATTCTCAACTTCACCCCCACAATCGTCTTCATGAATCATCCCATCCTCCCTTATTGCTATTTTACAGCCTTATTGTCCTCCTCTCCGTAATACTATCTCCCTCAACGCTACTTCCTCTTCCACACGTCCCCGTCCTACTGCCACCCTATTTATATAAATATCTTAAATACTCTATGTAGTCCAGCCAAATGGGACCGATTTTTCGTCATCCCTCAACAGCTCTCTACTCTGTCAACACCCTTCTCTTCCAGCAATGTCTCCAAAAACAAGTAGACAAAGTCTCTTTCCGTAGCCGACCCGATCGTTCCCGTCTCATCGCAGTTACATCTGAAAACCAAGCTATAGCATTATCAACTCTAACTTATCTCTCAGGCAACCCCATCCCAACAGGACCTCATCCGACCTTCAATACTTGTACTGGAAGTGTCTCTGTCTCCCCTGCAAACTGCTCTATCTACAGCAAAAATTGGTCAGATTGTGAAGACACTCGGCTGCATTACAGACTATGATGCGATATCAGTACAGTGCTACTCCATTTCTCCTAGAAGGCACCGTAAGAACCCCACCAACATTGTCAAAATTACTTTCAGTAGACATGACCTTCCGTTGAATGTTTACATTAGTGGAGAATCCCTCCCTGCCAGACCATATCAACCTCCTCCCCGTCATATTACCAGTTTGTCTCTTCCTCACACTCCCTTTACATCTCGTCTATACTTATCAACCAGAAGTCATACCTCCCTTTCAAACCACTGTCCTTTGCACAGTCATTCGCATCTTTCTTCGCCGCTGGATCACAGTAATTACAGTCTACTTCTTCCCTTCCCACCCCATCAACTTTGTTGCCTTTGAAACTCTAACTTCCCAACTCCAGCCACCTTTCCTCGTAGTTGGTGATTTTAAATGCCGCCACACTCTTTGAGGCGATTACATCACCAATCCCCGTGGCCGATCCCTAGAGAGGTAACGTCCTCTTCACAAATGACCTTATTATTCTTAATTCAGATCGCCCCACACACTGACATACGCACGGAGCCCGATCATCACTATATGTTGTTGATTTAACCATCTTCGCCTCTGGCACATTCATACCAAATCTCCGTAAATTCCTTCAGTCTTCCTGGGGAACTAACCATGGCTTTCGCTTTCGCTTTTCTACCTCCAATTCTTTCTCCATCTCCTCTCGCGCACGTGTACATCCCCAACCGCCATTCTTCTTATATGGCGCTCCACTCCCATACCGTTCCTCTGGCAAATTCCATAGCGTTATTTTTGACTCTAAATTGTTCTGGGCCATATATTTTACACTAAAGGAAAAACTCGCCGCCGCCTCCGAATCTTACAAACTCTTTCCCGTATATCATGGGGCTCAGATCGAAAAACTCTCCTCCATTTTCATGTTATCTTGATCCTCTCCACTCTTGATTATGGATGCCATAAATACTCCTCTGCTTCAACCTCCCTCCTTGCTTACCTTGATGCAATCCGCCATTGCGGTCTTCGCTTAGCCCTAGGCGCCTTCCACTCCTCTCCAGTTGAGAGCCTGTACACTGAATCAGGAATGCCATCTTTCTCTCTCGACGTCGTAACCTTCTCTCTCCCCGATGCTATGCTCGATTCTACCAATTTTCATTCACCAAACTAACTATCCCACAATCCCTGCTTTTTACCTTTGCTTCTTCTCCCCGTTTACCTACTCCTTTCTCCATTCGTATGGATACCGTCCTCTCCCATTCCCCTTTTCCCCAGTTCCGGCCTCTTCCGTTTTCTGTCCATCCCGTTCCTCCATGGCTAATACCTTACCCCCTTATTTGCTCCTCTGCTTTCCCTGACCCACCAAAATCAAATATTCTCCCCGCTGTCCTTCTCGCCCACTTCCTTGACCATGTCTCCATCCAATCCTCCTCATGTTTACACTTGATGGCTCAAAATCCAACTCTGGTGCTGATTTTGCAGTAACCTTCCCAATTCGCATTTTCAAACACCCCCTCCCTCCCGAATAAAGTGTCCTTACTACAGAACTGTACGCACTCCCTTTTGCCTTAAAACATATATACTCATCCCTTCTTCCTCTTTCACTATTTTTATTGACTCCAGTAACTCATTAACTCTCATAAAGTCTATACACTCGACCAGTCCCCATGTCTGTAAAATCCAGAACCGGTTGTTCTATCTGTTCTCACGCTGTAATTCTATTAGATTTTGCTGGGTATCCAGCCATGTTGGAATCTCCGGCAATGAAAAGGCAGATACTTTAGCACGTTACGCTCACTAAACACCAACCACGTTTTTCACGTATTCCAGCCACGGATTGTTACCCCCACTTTAAGACCCTGTATACCTGATGGCAATCTTTCTGGTCAAGTCTCCGAACTAATAAATTACATACTGTAAAACTATCCATTCCATCGGAACAGACATTGGGAGACGGCTCTCGCCCGCTCTCGTATTGGGCACACCTGTCTAACACACTCCTATCTGATGTCACGCTCTGAGCCACACCTATGTTCCCTATGTAATGTCTCTCTTTCAGTTCTACACATTCTGTTGTCATGTCCACGCTTTGATGCAGTCCGTACCTCTGCTTCCCCCCACCTATCCCTTCACCGACCTCCCAACCTATCAGACATCCTTACAGAATCCCCTACTTACTGCATTGACAACCTGTTCTCCTTCCTCAGACACATACATATCCTTCATATCTAATCCCCTTACCTAACCCTATCCTGACTCAAACACCCATTAACTCCTTTACCCATCTTTTCAATATTAATATATACTATTAACTCAACCACCCTTCACTATCCTTCACTAGTGCTACGTGACCTTACATGTCTAGCACAATTATTTTGCTTTTAAACATTAACTATAGAAATAATCCTTAGAAGTATTATCATAAGATTAACATTAAGAGAAGTTTCGTGTCTATGATTTTTGTAAGTAAGCATTTACAAGTAAAATATCTGAAAGGAAGTGATATTATTGATCTTGATTTAAACAGACCCGACACTAACAACGTCTTCAGTCTTCAAGTTTAAAATTAAAGGTGCCTAATTAATTGTCAACTTTTAGATTAGATAAAACAAATGAAAGCATTTGTTTTACTTGATCTCTTGTCTAATTTCATAATCTAAGTTAAGACTTATATCTGAAGCACTTGTATAATTCATTACAATATTAAGCCAGAGAGGACACCAAGAAAGTTGGGGGGGAAAGGGATGGCAGTTTCTTTAATTACTTAGAGTTTGTGCTTACTCCGGCTATCGGTCTCTCTGGTTCTTGTCTTCTTCTTTTTTCCTCATTTTGCTCTTTCTTGCTTGCATGCACTTTCTATAGCATTTCGCTCTCTCCCTCCCTCCCCCCCCTCCCTCTCTTTTCCTCCCTCTCTCTTTCTCTTCTTCTTTCTCTCCCCCTTCCCCTTCCCCTCCCACTTCCCTTCCATTTTCCTCTTCCCCTCCCTCTCCCTTTACATCTCTAGTCCATTCTTCCTACCTGCCCTTTCTCTCTCTCTCTCTCTCTCTCTCTCTCTCTCTCTCTCTCTCTCTCTCTCTCTCTCTCTCTCTCTCTCTCTCTCTCTCTCCCTCTCTCTCTCTCTCTCTCCCTCTCTCTCTCTCTCTCTCCCTCTCCCCCAGTGTACACGTGTACACAAAGATGAAAGGAAAACAGCCACAGTAAGAAATGAATATGAATCGATTCATATTAATTTCTTACTGTGGCTGGTTTCCTATTCATATATATATATATATATATATATATATATATATATATATATATATATATATATATATATATATATATATATATATATATATATATATATATATATATATTAGTGTGTGTCTGTGTTTGTGTGTATGAGTTCTTTTCCCTCTTTCTCTTTCTCTCTATTTTATACCCCCCTCAAAAACAAAACAAAACAAAAAACAAAAACAAAAAACAAACAAACAAACAAAAACACACACATAGGAAAATCATTATCCCATTACATCGCCCGCATAA